CTTTGGCAGCTTGTCAAAAAGTTGAATAGAAATTAACAATATTAGTCAGCAATTCCACTCCTAGGTATATATATCCCAAAGAAATGAGCACAAGTTTCATATAGAAACTTGAATGTGAACATTCATAGTAGCATCATAATAGTCAAGAAGTGGAAACAACTTACACATTCACTAACGAATGAATGAATGAATGAATGAAAAAAGTGTGGTATTCCCTTCAGTGGAAAACTACTGTGCAAAACTATGTTAGGCAAAGGGAGCTAAACACCAAAAACATGTATGAATGATTGTTTTAAATGAGATGTCCAGAAAAGGCAAACCTATGGAAATAAGAAGTAAATTAGTGGTTACCTACAGCTGGAGGTAGGCAAGAAGTCTTTTTGGGGTGATGGAAATATTCTAAAATTAGGTTGTGATGGCCATACATCTCTGTACATTTACTAAAAATCATTAAATTATTGAAAATAAGTGACTTGTCTCTATATACAAATAAATAAATTAATGGAGATGTTAAATGTTTTGACCTGATCTGTATGATAGCTAGAAAGTGATTTTGTTCCTTCCTATTGCTAGTTAGTGCTCCACTGCATGGATGTCCCATAGGTTGTTGGTACTGGGGTTTGAACTCAGAGTTTCATACTTGCTAGGCAGCCGCTCTACCTCTTGAGTTACTCTCCCAGCCCTTTTTTGTGTTGGTTATTTTTGAGACAGGGTCTTGCCAACTATTTGCTTCCTAAGTAGCTAGGATTATAGGTGTGGGCCACCGACACCAGCTACCACAGTTTGTATATCCATTCATCAGGTGAGGAATATTTGGGTAGTTTCTGGGTTTGAATAAAGTTGAATAAAGTCACTCTAAATATTCATGTATTGGGTGAACATATATTTTCATTTTCCTTGAGCAGTGGGATTGCTGGGTGTCTGGTAAGTGTGTGTTTATAAAAAAAAAATACCAAACTATTATTTGCCAGCTATATAATAAAGATGCTTGTCTTCCTTTAAAAAATTTAATTTTCTAATTATTGCTTTTTATTTTTTTTGAATGCTCTCTATATATTTTAGATTACAGTCTTTTATTAGATGTGCTTAAAATTTATTTTGGTATCCTGTGGCTTGTCTTTTTAGTTTTCTTAGCAGCACTGTTCAAAGAAGACAATTTTTATTAAAGTCTAGTATATCAATGTTTTCATTTATGGATTATGCTTTTGTTGTTATAATCAACATATTTTTGCCTAATCTAAGGTCACAAAGACTGTCTCCTATATGTTTTCTTTTAGAAATTTTATAGTCTTAGGTTTTATATTTAGGTAACACAGCTTTGCCTAATCTAAGGTCATAAAAACTGTCTCCTATGTTTTCTTTTAGAAATTTTATAGTCTTAGGTTTTATATTTAGGTCTATGATACAGTTTTTGGTAGTGTATGAGGTAAAGACTAAGGTCTCTACCTTTTTTGCACATAGATATCCAACTTTTCCAGGACCTATTTTTTTTCCAGCACCATTTGTTCAATGGCAATTTTTCCTTAAAGCCACTTTTTGCCGTGTCTCTTATTCAAGTAAATTAATGAACAGACCAGAATAGCTGAGAAGACAGAGTGAGCTATGGGCAGAGAGGACAATAAAGAGAAGGAAAGACTATGAACACCCATTTCTATCGTGGATAAATTATTTTTCAGTGAACAACCCTGGGGCATCTGACCAATCACTTAGTCTACTTCTTTCTGCTTCTGCTTTTGGAACCATCCATGCAGATGAATTCATTGGAAATGACCCTTTCACTTGTTGGCACTATGACTTTGGTTCTTTTACCAAGCAGGCTGCTTCTCACCACTGCGTACTACTGAATACTATGTTCTTATTTTCAAGCTGCATTCTATCCAAAATTTCTATATTTGCAGCTATAATTAATTTATTGTGATTGAGTATTACTCAAAATACCTCATTAGTTTGGTTCTGTCTGAGATTTGGTATTGGTAATGCAAGGTAAGGAATATATTGCCAAAACTGAATGGAGATACAAACACCAGCTTAAATCATTTTAATGAGAAACTGATCTTGGATAGATGGTTGCTTCTCGAAAAACTAAAGTCAAATGTCCCTATGCTTTTTACAGTGTAAATAAGGTAATTTAACACTTTTCTAGCTATTTGATACATGATGGTATAAATAAGAGGTCATTTCCCCAATTTAGAAAACATAACTCCTTTTTCTATATCAGGTAAAACTTTCCTTTATATTAAGCTTTCTTTTCAACTTTTGAGTCTTTTATTAAGAATGCAAACCTATTTTCTAAAGCATCTATACACTTCATGGAATGGGTACCACTGAGAATAATATGCTCCTAGTATAAAATATAGCCTCATCCTGGAACTGGGAAGCAACAGTGGTCTACTATATGTTTTGTTTGTATTGCTGCATGTTCAGAAGTCTAAAAAATGTCATCCACATTTTCTACTGCATAATCAATTTAATTTTATATAAGCATTAGAAAATTAACAAATGTGAAATGTCCAGTAGATAATGAAGATAAGGACTCTATTTTTCCTTAATGCATATTTAAGGCATTTGGATTCTGTCACTTACTAACTTCATTGCCCTGGTAAATTATTGAACATCTCTTGTCTTCATGTTTTTCAACTGTAAATAGGGACACCTTATGAATACGATTTTTTAAAAAACAAATGCCTAGCCTACTACCTAACACATAAGCACTTATTAATACCCACATAAAAATTTCCTTTTTTTGAGGTAATAGGGCTTGATCTCAGGGCCTTCACCTTGAGCCACTCCACCAGCCCTATTTTTGTGAAGGGTTTTTTGAGATAGGTTCTCGCCTAACAATTTGCCTGGGCTGGCTTCAAACCATGATCCTCCTGATCTCTGCCTCCTGAGTAGCTGGGATCACAGGTGTGAGCCACCAGCGCCTGGCTCACATGAGAGTTTCTGTTCAGAGCAACAAAAACTTTGGTTTAACATTTTTTGGCTACTTTCCCTGCTTAAGTGAGAGACTCATTTTTATTGGTATGGACCAAACTAGAATATATATTGACAGCAATGAGATGACTACCCCAATGTTCACTAATTCACTCAGCAAATGTTTACTGACCAACTACTGTGTGACAGGCATGGGTACTGGGTTATGGAGATCTAGAGGCATGATGTGGCTGAGAGACAGTGACATGTGGCAAGCTTCTAGGGTTGAATTTATGGATCTGGTATCCTTACACTGACATGTTTTATATTGCACATTCAAGTATGTAAGGATAGTGTGTTAATGGATGACCAGTTTTAATAGTAAGTAGAGATTTTTAGAAGTACTCAGTACTGAAGTATAAGTATTTCATATTAAAAACATAAAGTAGTAATTTATTGTTCAAGGAGATAGTATGCAATAACTATATATATGAAAGTGCCAACTTACAGACTGAGAAGAGAGAATATGCATAAAATTTATGCAATATATATTTCCTCAAAGGGGGAAAACTGGTGGCAGATTACTTACCTTTATGGTGCTTTTGTGTGCATGTGTGTATGTGTGTGTTTGTGTTTTGGAGGTACTGGGGTTTGAACTTAGGGTCTCATACTTGCTAAGCAAGAGCTCTACTACTTAAGCCACTCTGCTAGTCCTATATGGTGTTTTTAAATGTGGGCCTATTATATCAGTAACAACTTTGTAAAATAAGATTTGTTAAAAGTAGAATATTTCTTTGAGACAGAAAATGTAATTCTGAAATAGAAAGGAGCATGTCACTGACAATGAAGTCCAAAACAATGTAACACCTGGTGTGGGAGACTGGGGAAGAACCACATATTGTATGATTCTATTTACAGAACATGTCCAGAATAGGCAGAAAGATTCAAAGAAAGTAGGTGAGAAACAGAAAGTATAGATAGAAGGTAGATTAGTGGTTACCTGGGAGTGGGGAACTGAATGGATGGAGAAGTTGGGGAAAATAGGGTGAGATGCTAATAGGTCTGGAGTTTCTTTATGAGGTGATAAAACTGTTCTAAAATTGATTGTGGTGAAGGTTGCAAAACTCTCAATAGGCTAAAACCCATTGATTGTTTAACTTTCAGTGCGTGAATTATATGGTATGTGATGTATCTTAATAAAGCTCTTACAGAAAAGGGGATTAAAGAACATGTGAGCCCCATTCAATATATGGAACTTATTTGGGTTCTGTATAACAAAACTGCATAACTGCAGAAACAAAATAGAACAGATTTATGAGATAGTTGGGAAAAACCTGAGAGCAAGTGAAACAGGGTAAAGATGTGTTTTGAGTCATTGGTTTTATTGATATAATTCCTCAAATGATCAAGAACAAGTGTAAACTAGAGAAGTTGTTTTGTAATATGGTTCATTTCCATGTACCAGAACCTCACTAAGATTCAAATCTCCTTAAACATGGATAAAACATATTAAAATCTATAAAATTACCACATGCAAACATTCCATTTACACATTTCTTATTTGAACACCCAGACATCTGTCATATAGATGAAAAAGAATGTTTACAATATGGGTGTTCTCTAACAGGCAAATATATTACATCATGAGGTATGTGTCACAGCTTAAATTTCTTATACACAAATATTCTCCAAATATAATCTTTTCTTGTTTTGAATATTTTTATAAGGGACAGAAGTGTACAGGCATACTGGTTACAGACACAAAAATGGGAGTGGGCATTTATTTTAAGCACTTTAGAACATGTGATATTAGTCAACAGATGCTCATCTGATTGCTTTCTCCTGAGGGAGCAAATATAACTGAATTACCATTCCTTGATTAGTTCACATGAAAGAAAATCCTCTCTGCAACAAAGAATGCTTTCAGAACACCACAGTTAAAATGCTTTCTTTCTTTTTTTTCTTAAAATTTAACCCTACATTTATAGAGGTTAAGTGCCAATTTGCAATAGTTAAAAACGGAACAAAACTACATAATATTTGAACTTCCTGATGATTGCTTGAGCAAAGACAAAAATCTCTCTTACCATCCTGTTGATTCGTACAAAGTCTTCAGGTTTTTTTGCCCAGGGGGGAAGATCAACATCATTTACCACTACTTCATCTTCTCTGACTCCAAGATGATATCCGTTACTGTTGACAAACATCTCTGGTAGGTAGTAGAACTCTGGAATTAGTTCCTGCCAGGAATAAAAATGTGCATATTAAAGCACTTCAGAAAAACCAGTTGGATAAAACTATTAACTTATAACTTACTAACTATAAATGGAATTAAACACTTTCTTTACCTAAAACCCAATATTTTAGAAATCTATTCTTCATTAAAAGTTTTTTATTTATGAGTATGAAGAACAAAGGAAATATTTCTCCTCTACAATTTGTTTGATAACTTATGCTTATAATACACAATATTTTTAAATGTTACCCATGTTTATCTTACCTTGTTATGAATTAACATGGATGTACAAATAGGTATACAAATTAACAATAGTTCACAGTAGAATTAGTAAACATATGTATAAAGCTATACCTATAAGTCTGTTGCATAAACACCTTTTTCTGACTAATAACAGTCAGAATTAAAAGTGTTGATAGTATTTATTAAAAATCACAATATTTTTTCTTTTTTATAATATTAGCAATTACAATACATGATACTTATAAAAAAGATTCAAAGTTTTAACTTTTGACTTGACATAATACATTTTTTTTTTCAGTGTTAATAATGGAACCCAGGACCTTGCTCATGTGAGGCAAGCACTTTACCACTGAGCTATCCCCTTGGCCCCAAATAAATTATTTTTATACCTACTACTGAATACAATAAGGGGACAGTACACATTATAATCAGCTTGAAATATTTAATGCCACTGGAATGTAGGTTATTAATAAATTGGATGCAAACACAAATTGGTTTATATATATAGATATGACATAACAACTGATTCAAGACGATCTGCATGGGATGCCTCATGTCAAATAAGGAGGCTTACATACTTTGGAATAAATCTAATATAGGAAAAAACTGATTTTAAGATACTAAAAGTTTGTATTTGTTCTTTTTTTAAAGTAAAGAAAATGAAAAGCAAAACATTAATTTTATGCATATTTATAACATATCATTTTTTCTCAAATTTCAAGTTGAGGGCTAAATTAACTTTAAATTATATTCTCAAAAGCAAAAGACATTTATTTGTGTAATATGATCAGAGTTGACATCACAGTATTTGAAATTTGAATCTTACTGTGGTCTTTTCCAGGGATGCATTGAAAAAATTAAAACTGCTGGCGCTGGTGGCTCATACCTGTAATCTTAGCTACTCAGGAGGCAGAGAACAGGAGGATTGCAGTTTGAAGCCAGCCTGGGGCAATAATTCCCAAGACCCTATCTTGAAAAAAACCCATCAAGGGCTGGCAGAATGGCTCAAGGTATAGGCCCTGAGTTCAAAGTCCAGCACCAAAAGAAAAAAAAATTAAAATCACTAAGTTCTGAGGTCTTGAAAATTGGGTTCTTAATTTTTTTCTAAGAAAAGTACATACAAAAGCTTTACCTTCATAGGTTCTCCTTCTAAGACCTACATAGGTGTTATAGCATAAGTAAGTGTTTATCTTATTAATACCCTGTGTGAATGTGATCATGATCCATTCTTATGATAATTTTGAGCCTTAAGAAAAACATCTTTTTTGTTGATTTTCTACAAAATTATGGAACCATGAATGGGTTTATATAAGCAAATTTTCTGGATAAATGGAGCTCAGTTTTTTTAAGAACGAGAGTTTTCATCTATGTAAACCATTTAAATAAAGATCTTTCTAAAATTCATTATATACATCTGTGACATTTATTTACTCATATAATAAAGATTTTGAGTTCCAGAGACTGTGATGGGTATCAAAAAACAATGGACAAGACATGTCCTTACCGTCACATAAGGGGCTGATGTATAAATGGGTAATTATAATGTACAACCATAACAGCTATGGAAGGGTGGGGGTGGGGAGGAGAGAGCAGGGAACTTTGACAAACTTAGGAAATACTTCACCAGAGATGGGACATGTGAGATCACCACAAAGGAGAAGATCGGGGGAAGGGGCAGAGGACTATTGTGGAGGGCTATCAAGGAGTGGTAAGAAGAGAATATTGGGGATACATTAGGACTAGAGGATGAGAAGGGAGAAGGATTAGGGGGTCAGATGATGGAGGATGTTTTCTGAAGTGAGGCTGTTTGGATTTTGTCCAAGAGGCAATCAAAACTTTGAAGAAGAGTTATGGCCATGCTGAAATTTGTTTTTACTTAAAGAGACCGGGTGACGAAGCAAAGAGTAGACTCTATAGGAGGAAGAATAGGTGTAGGTGTGCCTGTGGGAGAAGAGGAATCAGCTGCAGCAAGAAGAGGATGGGTGAGAGAAGGGCGACTATAAGGTATGAAGAGGAAGGCGACTTACGTGAGACTTTGTCAAGGAGGGGTGACCTGGGACAGATCTGTCTGGGTTGGCAGGGAGGTAGTGATGAGTTGTGGTCTGACTCTTGGGCAGAAAGGAGGGAATTAGATAGCTCTCTCTAAGAGGCAAATATGTATTAACAAAAAAACTGTGTAAGATGTCAGGGCCACAATGAACTGCTTGGGAAGGGAGAATTCCAGTGAAATTAATATAAGCAAGTTTCCAAATATGAATGTGAAAGAGGGAACAAAAAACCACAAGTGATCCAACATGTCCATATGCCAATAGTGATATGGCTTAACTGAGGCTTGGACAGGAGTTAGTGGGTGCTTCAGCAATATTCTACCAACATGATTATAATGAACTCGGTGTCTGAGCTGGATTAGCATGACAGTCAGTCAGTCAGTAAAGGTGTATGATCACTGATTGGAAGGCAGAAGTAAAGAATCACTACTGATTGCACCTGATCAGAAATGCATAATTATTATCTTATGATTTCCATCTGTTAACAAAACACATACAGTTTTCTTCTGCTCTTACTCTCACTGTTTGGAGGAACACAGAGAATTAGTAAAAAGTCCACAGAAGCAAAGACTGTGGCTCTTTGCACATTTCCTATTCTTTATATGACACTGAATAATAATAACATTCTAAAAGAGCCAAGAGGGGGAAAGGCAGGTGAGCTCATTCAGTTGTTGGTTGTGGAGGGTGGCTTATATGTAATAGACTCACCTAAGTCAGGGATTTGCCTTGCTGCTTTCCACCAGTTATTTATGTTCATCTCCTATGTCTAAAACAAGAGTACATAAGCTTCCTCAAGGACAAAGAAGGATATATATCTACATAGACATAGCAACAACATGGATTTATTTTTTATCTAAATATCCCCAAAACGGGCTGGGGGCATAGCTCAAGCAGTAGAGTACCTGCCTAGCAAGTACACCCCTGAGTTCAAACCATTGTATGGCAAAAAACAAAACGAAATGAAAAATCCCTTAAAGTCTTAATTTATCTTCCACCATCTTGATACTCTATGTTTTTCATGTAGTATTTTCCATTCTTTCCTGCTTTAGCAGCACATAAAATATGTGATTATTACCTACCACTAATACAATTTCACTGAATTCCACTTAATTAGATTCACAAAGACACAGGAAACACAGAGTTTAATATTAATGACAATTTGGGCAAAAGCAAATTTTCAAGCCTTATTTTGTGAGGTTTTTATTTTGTTGAGTCCCTCATAGCTCTTGGTGCTACATCTCACATGCTGCAGGTGCTTATTAAATATTAAACCACTGAAGATATTACATAAAGGTATTTTAATATGACTAGGAATCTTCTGGGGACTGTGCAGATGTTTGGAAGAATGCCTCAAGATACAAAAAGAGCCATTAAAAAACTTTATTAAGTAAAAGAAAAAGAATGAACCCCAAAACGAAATCTGTACTTTTTGAGGGGAAATTTTACAGCATAAAACTGCTATCTTGTTTGTTATACCTATATTGAAAAGGTTCAGAAGTATTAAGGATTTAAATTTAAAATAGAAAAGGTTTGTTTTTAGGGGCTGGGGTGTGACTCAGTGGTAGAGTGTGTGCTAAATATGCATAAGGTTCAATCCCCAGCACCTACAGAAAAAGAAAATTAAAAAAGAGAAAGTGTTAAAGTTGCCACCAGAATTGTTCTCAAACCAGTAGGCCCAATTTCATTTTAATCTAAGCACTCTAGAAAGGAAGGCACTAAAAGTTGGCCCTCACTAAGAGGAAGGAAGGAAGGAAGGCTAAGAAAGTTCTGCCAATGGAAATTGAGAAGGGCTGGACAGAGGGCTCCAGCAGGAACATCCCAGGAGGCTCCAACTGGGGCCAGTCTTAGGACAAGGCAGTGTTGCAGAGCCTTTAGAACAACACCATACTTAAGGACTTTTTCTGGCCTCATCCTTATCTGGAAGACAAGGGTGTGGTCATAAATTAGGGTGTTAACTAGCTGTTGGCATAAACTGTAGAGATTTGATGCTTGAAGGGACAAACTCTTCCACATTTCCAATAGTGGGAACAGTCACTAAGCAGACACATTTTTAAATAAATCTGAAGAAATTCCTGAAGCAAGTTTTATTGGGAAAGGCTCCAGAAGCTTCAAAACACCAGAGTGATCAGTGATGGAAGCTGTCTGATCCCAAAGTAACAAGTTGGGGACAGTTTGGAACTTTTTGAAGGGTAGTGAAGAGAGTGAAAAGAGAAGTAGCTGAACTAGCATGGTAGATGTAAATTTTTGTGCCTCAGTTTTATTGTTTTAAAATCTTATTTCAAATAGCAGTTTTTACTGAAGGTTTGTATGCTAGTGCACATTAGTAGCATATGATTTATATTCACATTTATATTATGTAAGGGAGTCATTTGTTTTAATAATCATCATCTCTGAAGTCTAACTAGATTTTTGCAAGAGGATGGACTCTCAGACCAGGTTAACTCTGTTTATGCAATCTTAAAAGAATAGGTGACATTTATTATGTCTTATTTAATGTCCTGACATGGTTCTAAGTGTGTCACATATGTCAAAATATATGATATATCTATATATATTGGGGGAGGCGGTGAGACTGGGGTTTCAATTCAGGGCTTTGCACTTGCAAAGCAGGCTCTCTCTTGAGTCACATTTCCAATTTTATTTTTTAATTTTCACAAAAATTTCACGAGCCAGGTAATTCTCCCCATTCCCAATTTATAGACATGAATACAGA